GGAATTCGAGCCTGGGTAACCTCATTGGGATGCGAGTGCTCTATCCCCTGAGCCACAGCGACTTTCATACTCTTATTTTCAATTCTTGATTATATCCGAGAGAGAATATAACCTCAGCTTTAGAAGGGGGATAGCATAGATGACAAATAAAAATATAGTTACCTTAAATCTGTTTTAGATGCGATAATGGTTTGAGTATTAGTCTGAAAATTTACCTCATATCACCTACATGCAAAACATAAGAACTAGTACGAGCTTATTTATTACTTGTTCAACATGAAGCCTTTTAGTGCTTAATTTAATAATATTCATACAAGTGACGATTACACTAAACATTTTTCTGATGAATTCTGAAAAGAGATGTAGAGGCTAAAGGAAAATATAGCATACATTTTTAATAATTTTAACATTTAACAACAGACATATAAAAGTAAATTTATCATGCTTCGTATTTAAATTGCGAATTTACGTTAACATGGACCAAGAGACAGGAAACAGATGAGAAATTTAAACTTAGTTGTTAGTTCGGTTTGCTCCGTTAGTTCTGATGTTTCTGTATATTAAAATAATTAATTAATTAAATTGGAAGGTTTTAATAGTTTGATCTCATAAAAAAAAAGAAAATCTTCGTTAGATAAATAAATTGAATAAAGGCAAAAGCACAAGTGTGACTCTTTCTGTATTGAGAAAAAAAAAGGTATGGTCAAACTACCAGAATATGGTTAACTTTACCGTGTTTCTAGCTCTAAAGGAACGCCAAAAAAATAAGTATTTCTACCAAAGCGCTTTGGTGATGATTTTGGTAGAATTAAAAATAATACAAGGTCTTATAATATGTGATAAAATTTGATAAACGTGGTACAATTCAGAAATTTTATCATGATAACTTGTAACGTGACATAAAACTAATTTATTCGGTTAAATTTACTTTTCAGTTTAGTATTTTTTATTAAACGTATAGTAATAATTACGAGCGGAAAACCAGAATTTTCGTTTTTTTTTTTGCAACGCAGATGTCATTATCATACAGTACGGTAATTTTAACGGATCTTTTTTTATCCGTGTAAGGATAAACATAATTAAAACTAATAAAAATAAAAATTAATTCATTCGGTTAAATTTACTTTTCAGCTTAGTATTTTTTATTAAACGTATAGTAATAATTACGAACAAAAACCAGATTATTTTTTTTTGTGTTTTTTTTTTCTTCAACACAAATGTCATTATCATACAGTACAGTAATTTTAACAGATCTTTTATTATCCGTGTAAGGATTTACCAATATAGTTTTGGCTGAATTTAACGACTCCAAATTTATTTATTATTGAATTTCTCAAAAATGTCCTCAAAGCCAGCCACTGAGTAAATATATATTTTTTGTTTGTTAAATGTTAATCTGAACTCAGCTGTTAAAATAATAGTGAAACTAATTTATAATTTATAAATGCTGTAATGAAGAGGTAAAGTTATATTCGTTCTTTTACTTTATATGTAAGTCTTATTGACAGGAACACCAAATACCAGGCGTGCTCAAAATATACTCGTCTGATTATGCCTGCATATTTGTCTGAATAATTCGGAGAAGGAATCTTTAATCATTCTTTGATGAATCATTTCTCCTCGTTTACCCCTTTCTCACTAAAACTCTAGTTCTTACATAAAATGATCTTTTTAAAANAAATTTATTTGCATGTTTATTCAATTTTCTATACACTCAATATAAAAATAAATTGATAAATTCATTTTCTCTATTCATATAGACAGCCAGACCGTACTATGACATTTATTAAAAATATGACGTAATAACAATAAATTTATTTATTCGAAATTAGAATAAGATACAAAAATTTCTAGAATGAAAATGAAATAAAATTCAATAAATTTTAAATTAAATTGAAACTTCTTTTTAAATATTAGAGATTTAAGATATGAAACTGTTGTTATTAAAATCGAAACTCATTCTTCAATTAAGGCTGAAAATAAATAACGCTTCTCCCAGATGTGAAACGACATAATTTCTTAACTTGTTATTTAAAAATATTTCCATAATAATGACTTCGAATACTGTCTAATACTGTCATTGTTATATAATATTAATCATATTTTGAGATGAAACTAAATTATCTTGAATTAATGCTACGGCTATAATATTCGCTAATTGCTTAAAAAAGTTACAGTAATCTATTTCATTCATATTGCATATACAATTAAAATATCATAATAAATTGTCTTTTTTTAATCTGCTCATTTATTATAATGTATTTAAAATGAATTAATAATAAGTTCTTTGATAAAAAATGCGTTCGTTTTTTCTAATCTCGCAAATATTTGATGAATAAATAGGACTTGTTTTAAGGAATAAAATGCATTTAATATGAGGCTAGATAGTAATTATGTCAATTACACTGGGGAACATTTTTTTTCAAATTTATACAAATACTGAGCCTTGTCTATTTCGGGAGTAGGGGTTTCAAATCTGAAACTAGTTTAGCTCTTAAAGCTAAAGATTTTTTAAATAGCATTTTTAGTCTATTTTTGTCAAAATGTACAAGCTAAAAAACGTTATATATAGCAAGGAGACGCATAAATGTTGCTATAAATTTCTAGGGGAGTTAAAGCACATCAGGATTAAAATAGTATAGGAAATCATGCCCGGAAAAGTCGTCGTTCGTGGCTAGAGGCGCTTTGTTATTAGGACCTGCTCAAAAGCACAAAGAATCAATTAATAATGAAAAAGCGCCTGTAGCGGTGCATGATGACATTTCAGTGCATGGGTTCGTATGCAATTTTAATCTTGATGATGTGCCTTAACTCTTCTTGAAGTTTGTTGCAACATTTACGTGACCCTCTGTTGTATACAAAGTTTCTAAATTTGTACATTTGTTCAAAAAATGGACCAAAATGTCTTTCAAAAAAAAATCTTTGGCAACAGAACAGATCCATTAAAAAAATCTTTGGCAACAGAAAACAAAAAGGAATTTCTTTAGTGTAATTATCAGATCTTTAATTATGAATTTGCAGAAAAAAAGAGTAACTTATTAAAAAAGAAGAACTGTTTAAAAAGAGTTACCTTGCACATATTATAAGGAGCTATTTCATTCATCTGAAGATGTGTTCATACTTTCTATATTCTCGTACCATGTAAGCCAGTGTTTCCCAAAGTGTGGTACGCGTACCCCCAGGGGTACGGGAACTGTTTAGCTGGGGTACGCGTTCTTATACGAAATATCTTGCAACAAACAGAAATTCAGAACATTTTATTTAAAAATACAGCTATCCATGAAAATTTACGATTACGTATTTTTCTATTGGCTATTTTTTGCAGAGTTAACAGTTAATAATTAGCGGTGTCAACAGCCAGTTGCGGTTTTTAACTTTTGTGCGATTTTTTTATAGTTAAAAAATGCATTCATTTTTTTTATTAGTGGTACACAGCGTTACGAAAAATTTAGAAAGGGTACACAAAAGTCAAAAGTTTGGGAAACACTGATGCAAGCAATAGGTTGCTTAGGTAAGTGGGAAAAAAACCTAAATGACGAGAGTTAATGAATACCAGGAAGGTCACTTTAATAGAATTTTTGGAATTAAATTGCTGTCATATTGAAAAGTTGCCCAAATTTAGGATGATTTAGGACAAACTTAGGAAGCTTCCTAAATTGGAAGACCGAATTTAGGAAACCGCTCCTGACTTAGGTAGGCAGTGGCGACTACCTAGTCTAATGTATGGAATATGATGAAAAACTCTGTGGCGCGTCAGCCCATGAAGGGGCAAGACCTACTGGGCCCTTCTTAGTTTTCTTGACCTTGGGCCCTGGATTGCAGGGAGTGATGTTCTGGTTAGGTGGTCAACCGAGCTCAAACCCCCCAGTATTTAGTCCCCAATCATGATTGGTACTCATTTTATCGACCCACTGAAAGGATGAAAAGTTTATTCTACCTTACCCGGTCCCAGAATAGAACCCCGGACTTGCAGCACCGGAAGGTGAAGCGCAACCATTCAATCACTGGATGTGGAGTATGAAGAAATTCCAATTCTTGTAGTTTTGCATTACTCATTTGTGTAGTGTGTTGCTTTGCATTGCCAAGCAATAAGATGATCTGTTGACCAATCTTTAGTTTTTGCATTATTTCGTCAAGTTTATCACATTATATTTCCACTGTTTCAAATGAACCAGGTTTCATAAAATCCTAATGGATCACACATGCGTACCAAACACTCAACATCAGCATTTTTTTTTTCTTTTTGTGTGTGAATATTACGCTTTGGTAGAGCCAAACACACTATTTGTATTTCGCATAGTCTTCATTGCCATAGTTCTACGCAATAACTCATAATTAAAAATGGTATAAATTTTCAAAGATTCAATAAAATTAATTTTTTTTTAAAAATGCTATTAGTACTTTTTAAGCTACGATAACTTCGTTAAGCAAGTGCGATATTAACGGTTCAAGGAAGAAAATACCCATACAATCTACTGAGTTGACGCATACAATCTACAAATTTAATCTTTAATAAAAAAAAATACGGTCATTTATAAAAATTGATAAGGTATTAATTAATTGATATTAATTATTGACATAACGCATTTTTAATTGATATTTGAAATTGCTGCCAGATATTTATTAACTACTTTAAAATATTACTAAACATTAAGTTGGGTATAATTCTTAATTTCGTTTTATTTTGTCACCAGGTAACATAATATGTAATTTTTATTAGCTTATTTACTTCAAAATGAAAGAACACATTCATAAAATTTAATTTTTCTCTTCGACATTTGTTTATTAATATCCATCTCATATTTTTAGAACGAAAATTGCAATCCTTATGAAAATTATTTTACCTGTAAATTACTTTACTTTTAAAAAATTATTTGTAAAACTTGAATAACTAAAAGTAGATAAAAAGACATGATCTTCCATGAGAAAATTGTTATTGAAAAAATATGCTTGAAGCAAAAGGACTTATGATAGAAAAAATGAAGAACTGACACGAGAAATACTAAATAGCGAATTTATGTCCTATTATTCAAATTGGAAATGATATCTAAACTTTCGCTTAAGCAATTTAAAATAGAAGTGGTCACAATAGAAGTTACAACAAAGTAATCTTCTCAGTAGCAGTATTTGAGTGATCATATTAAGAGTAGCCATAAGTGATGGTCATAACACGGATAACATGTTATCCCGAAATCTGTCCGTGGCTAGTGGCAATTTGATATTTAAAATATCATGATCTATATATGTCAATTTCTGAAATTATGGCTCATTGTCAGGCGGATTTTCTTTCTCTCCAAGATCATAGAGTTGTTCTGAAAAATAAAATGTCATCCAATTAACGGGAAATAGTCCCAACAACAACAACCATCGACAATATAAAAATTATTAAAACAATTTAATTTATATCAGTTACCATTTTCAATATCTCTTCAACTTTATTTATTATTATAACCAAACCAACGATAAAAAATTATAACCGAAATGAAATTAAACAGAAAATTAAAATGATTCATTCTTGCTACTTTTTGATGCTCCTTCTTTGGCCGGATAGTTTCCACTTGATATTTGATCCAAATGTACTTGCCTTACTGAATTCCCTTTTGCCTTTGTGCATATGTATCCCTTTCAAATAATTCTAATCGTTTCCTCAAATGCAAAGAGAAAACTTTACTATCGTACAAGCAAAACTATATATTTGAATAAATCAACAAAAAATTCTAGTTCCTTCCCTGAGTGGCCACCGTGGACTGCTTAGACATACACTTTAGACATACATATCTGAGATCAACGGGTCATGACTATTTGCAGTCATCTGGGACTGGTAGATGCAGATACCGGCCCTCTTTGCGTCCATAGCATGCTCATGACAAAAGAGCGCCTCAGTATATGCTCCAATGTTCCGAAATTTTTTCATTTTATGTGACTAGCAGAATCGTTGCTGGGCAGTTCATCGGCAAACAATAAACAGGTCGGTCACTTAAGCATAACAAAAAACAAATTCCATCTGCAAAATCAATTGAATGATACTCTATACAGAACATAAAGCCCATTCCTTGTATAACACACATTGTATGGTATACAATTTTACTTCACGCGCCAAATAAAACTCAACAGTTACTCATTGGCCTTAGAGTACCATGTAAATAACAAGGGTCACTAGTTGGAATATTGAAAAGATTGAGGGAAAAGTGTTCCTATTAGTGATAGTTCATCAGTGTGAAAATAATTTTTTTAAAGTGACTGATGAGCAGGTGATAGAAAATTTTAAGGAAGAAAACAATAAAAATAATGGAAAATATATAAATAAAATCCGAAGCTGACGTCGTCAAGGGGCACCAGCCTCGGAAGTCGTAAAAACGCAAAACCTTTTCTATCGAGAGAGCATGACAAATGTCTAATATTTGCTCTCTCTGTACCCCAAAGGTTTTGCAAGAAGTCCAGAAAGAGAGAATACATAATACAAAATCAAAATGCAAAAGTACGAAGGGAAAAACAATGTTCAAAAACCTACTACAAAATATTCCTCTGTTAAACTATGGTTTTTCAGATTGTTGTGTGCTTTAGTTTAACAAAGTAATATTTTGTAGTAGATTTTTGAACAATGTTCAAAAACCTACTACAAAATATTCCTCTGTTAAACTATGGTTTTTAAGATTGTTATGTGTTTTAGTTTAACAAAGGAATATTTTGCAGTAGATTTTTGAACAATGTTCAAAAACCTACAACAAAATATTCCTCTCTTAAACTATGGTTTTTCAGATTGTTGTGTGCTTTAGTTAAACAAAAATATATTTTCTAGTCGATTTTTGAACAATGTTCAGAAACCTACTACAGTAGATTTTCGAACATTGTTTTTCTTTTTGTACTTTTGCATTTTGTTTTTGTATTATGTATTCTCCTTTTTTTCTCTTTCTGGACTTCTTCCAAAACCTTTGGAGTACAAACAGAGCATATATTAGACATTTGTCATGATTTCTCGATAGAAAAGGTTTTACGTTCTTATGACTTTCGGGGCTGGTACCCCTTGACGACGTCAGCTTCGGATGTCATTAATATATTTTCCATTATTTTTATTGTTTTCTTCCTTAAAATTTTCTATTGGTTTTAATTTTCTTATGGAATTTCTACTGCATTGCGCAACTTTCCTTTAGAATTGCAGTTCTTAAAAGTTTTGTACATGATTAATGATTTCTCGTCTTATTACTGATGAGTAGGCAATTTGAGTGCCTTAGGAACTTTGATCCGTGAAGGTCATAGTATTAGCTGGTAAGTAATTTCCAATTGAACATGCAATAATCATTTGCAAGAAATTACTGTGAAATTCTTCTTCCTTAAGTTTATTGTAATTTTTGGTTGGATATTGATGTCCCGCAATTCACAAAAAAATTGAGATTACTTTACCTCCTTCTCACTGTCACAGAGTGCGAAAATATATCAACGTGGAAAATTCTGTAATTTCTCTCCATGACTGAAAAAGTTCTAGTGAAGAAAGAATGATAAAAATGAAAAAAAATCAGAGTGATAAAGGATTTCTAGACGAAGATCATAATGGTAGCAAAATTGCTCGGGAAAAGCATTTTGAAGCATTTCTTGGCTGAAATTCTAAACATTTATGGCAATGATAGCTTGGAACTTTTTTTTATCTGAAAAACAAAGATATAGAGGAACGGTGTTCACTTTTTTTCTAAAAAAGTGGATAAATCCAACATCTCTTTAAAAATGCGTTATTTCAAAAACTCCATCTCCAAGGAAACGACACGGTAAATTCTTTATTTGCAGAAGATTTTGCCAGACTTTTCAAATAACTTGATTTTTATCAAGTACTGTATGAAAATTCTCTTTTGTTTCGTTATTTTAGCAAACAATTATCCTTTAAAGTTTTTTAGTGGAGTGGCTTGTATTAATATTATTTATAAAAATAAGGAAATAGTAATAAATATTTTTTGCAACTGTTCTCAATGTTTTCTTTGTTATTTTTACTCCCTGCAAACTTACATTTCTCAGATGATGACTTTAGAAATAGTTTTCATTAGAAAATATATGGTTGGACTAAGCTACTCTGTTCTTTTCGTAATTTTGTCCACTAGTTTTCTGAATTTCTACTGTAAAAGAAATCAATAGAAACAAATTGAAACACCATGCATCAACTTTATAAGGTCAAAAATTGCTGAATTGTCTCTCCAACTAGTAAAAAAGTACATAGATTTTTTATAGAAATTTTAAATTAAGCAAAATAGCACTCACTAACGGGGTTCGGAAAATAGAAGAATATAGGTAGGAGAAAAAGTCCACCTCTTCGAATACGTAAATACTGCTCAGTGAGGAATGATAGTAAAAAGAATATAGGTAGGAGAAAAAGTCCACCTCTTCGAATACGTAAATACTGCTCAGTGAGGTATGCTAGTAAGAAGAATATAGGTAGGAGAAAAAGTCCACCTCTTCGAATACATAAATACTGCTCAGTGAGGTATGCTAGTAAGAAGAATATAGGTAGGAGAAAAAAGTCCACCTCTTCGAATACGTTAATACTGCTCAGTGAGGTATGCTAGTAAGAAGAATATAGGTAGGAGAAAAAGTCCAACTCTTCGAATACGTAACGTAAATACTGCTCAGTGAGGTATGCTAGTAAGAAGAATATAGGTAGGAGAAAAAGTCCACCTCTTCGAATACATAACTACTGCTCAGTGTGATATGCCATACCAGAAAAATAAATTACAGGGGGAGCAGCAACATACTCAGATTAAGCAGAGCATCATATGTACTAAGATCCAGCGACAGTCAAGAGGTACCTCACCTGCGTACCGGTTGTTGGACAACTCAGCATGTACGGTTGTGTACGCTTCCTCCCGCCAACCACCATTTTATTCTTTCTTTCTAAGTCAAAATGTGTTAGCAGATTTAATCAACATGGATGCATGATATAAATGTATTTTTAAAGAAATATCTTAGTTGATAGAACAGTTATCACTAATAGTTTATCAATAGTGTAAAAATGTCGAGCAAACCAACAATAAATAAAAAGAGAACTTTTCTTCTCCTCAACCCCAATTTGAGAGGAGAGGCGGGTGCAAACCCATTTCAAGAACCACTGCCATTGGCTCTGCTGGGGCTCCAACATCTGTTGAGGTCCTGCAGTGCCGGGAGTTAATTCATCATATTAGTCAGGAAAACAAACGCATCAAGGTACAATGGATCCCTGGACACTGCGGCATTTATGGGAACGATTAAGCAGATCTTCTCGCACGAAAAGGTACTCTTCTACAGCAAACAAATGAATCTGGGCTGTCTTTTCACTCGAAAAAGCTCTTCTGGAAACAAGCTTTGAAGTCGAAATTCAAAACACAAATAAAAGATAGGATTAAATCCAAGACCTGGAGTAGTGAAGATCTTGCTAATATACCCGATTGCCCAAGATGTGAGGCAGTGGCATTGTTCCGGCTGGTTAAGGTACATGACTGCCTGAGTGAACATCTCCATACAATTGGTATTTTCGACTCCCCTCTTTGTTCATTATGCGATATGGGAGAACCTCTGAATAGAGCTGATCTGCGTCTATGCGGGACATTTCGTGGCTCTGCCGACTCCGAGATCGCCCTGTATTGGAGAGCTAGGGAACGTCTGAGGCTTCAATGACTTCGGTCAATATTTGTAATCGCTAGCTCATTGTTTCGCATTGGCTTGCTCTTATAAATGTAACATGCCTTGCCATTGGAAATAAAAAAAAAGAACCACTGCTGCTGTGACCCTAAAATGATGCTTTTCTTTTATGCACAGTATCCACACCAGACCTTGACTGGTTTACATTATGTCTATGAAAGCTAACCTTATTCCCCTATGTTTATTCTTCGTGTGAAACATCCATTTCTTGGATTTTTTACAGTTCTGTCAATCTGTTTAGAAGTCTGTTCTAACTTTGAATCCCCCGGTATATGATATTATTAATGAAAGAGGATTAAAATTATAATTTAGTATTTACCTTGACAATAAAGATTTTTTTCGTTCCAAACATTTCCCCGTATGCATGTCATTAGTTCGTCAGGACTACGTATGAAACCTTTTTCACAAACTAACTCAGCAGTCTTTCGAGTTAGCTGAATCCTACCATAATTTATATGTAAGTGAGGGTCCACGCATGTTGGAGCTGCAAGTAAAAATAAATAACTTAAATATCCTCAACAAATAAGAATAAGAGCTTCAAATTCCCTTAATACGCGGCAATCTGAATTTCGGAAAAGTTCTAAGACTTAGATTAGGTTCAAAATAAATCAATTAGTTTCTTATACGGTCGTCTCCCTAAAACATTTAACCCATCTACAGATATAATTTGACAATTCGTCAATCGTTAAGCTAAAGTTATTTTGGTGCTTTTGAAAATCATGAAATTGACTAATTTTTCATGAAACACGAGCCCTCAAATATTAGGTAAAATTGGTCTCTTTTCTCGTGCTTCGTTTCAATGCATTCCGAGAGTCTGATTTTAAAACCATTTGTTTTGCGGGACAGGATAGTACCGGGAATACATACTATTAAGCTGGTTTTACAGATTAAATTCCAGGCGATGAAATTCCATACTCTTAATGTTTTATGTTGTATTTCCTTATTAATTGAGTCAATTGATTTGTTGCCTTAAGTCTAATTTTCTTGGTTAAATTTTCATTCTCAATAAAGTTAAACTTGCTACTCATTTCCCAGGTGACAATTTTTCCAAGAACAAAAAAAATCACAAATAAAGAACACTGCGATTAAAGTTTTTAAAGAACACTATAAAAAAATCTGTTATATTACGGGAGACTTCTGAAAGCAAGATTGCTAGAGATAAGCCATATGATACGAGAAAAAAAAAACAAGTTGACAGAGAATTTTCCTGTAACAAAACCCTATAGATAATGTTTGTACACATCAGATACTTTCTGCCGGTCAGAGTACGCTCCTCAGGAAACAGCAGAGAAGTTAGGCATAAAAATATTTGTATACCGTCTGGTTTGCGAAGTGAAATAGATTTTTCAAATTTTGATTAGTTTATTAATTTTATGTGATTTTACGTGATTTTTGAGATATCGGAAACCATCATGATCGGAAGAATCGTCTAAGTATTTTTATTCCTTCCCCGTCGTTAAACTATAGATAATGTTTGTACACATCAAAAATTTTCTGCGGTCTAGAGTATGGTCCTCAGAAAACAACAGAGTAATTTGGCATAAAGGTTTGGTTTGCAAAGTGAAATAGATTTTTAAAATTTTGATTAATTTTTTTAATTATGTTATATTTTGTGTGATTTTTGAGATATCAAAAATCATCATGATCGGAAGTATCATTTGAGAATTTTTATTTTTTCCCCATCGTTAAATTACAGACAATGTTTGCACACATCAGAAATTTTCGGCCGTCTAGAGTACGGTCTCTAGAAAACGGCAGAGTAATTTGGCATAAAGGTCTGGTTTGCAAAGTGAAATAGATTTTTAAAATTTTGATTAGTTTTTTAATTATTTTATTTTTTATGTGATTTTTGAGGCATCAAAAATCATAATGATCGGAAGAATCGTCTGAGAATTTTTATTTTTTCCCCATCGTTAAACTACAGACAATGTTTGCACACATCAGAAATTTTCGGCCGTCTAGAGTACGGTCTGTAGGAAACAGCAGAGTAATTTGGCATAAAGGTCTGGTTTATATTATGAAATAGATTTTTAAAATTTCGATTAATTTTTTAATTATTTTATTTTTTGTGTGATTTTTCGTGATTTTTGAATTATTAAAAACCATCCTGATTGAAAAAATTTTCTGAAAATTTTTATTTTTTTTCATCGTTAAGTTTAGACTTCCTGAAGCGGGATTCGAATTCGTGACCTTCTTTATATGAGGTCAACTCCTTGATCATCATGACTGCCAGCATCTGTATTCGTCGTATAAATCATAATATCAAAGTGTTTCATATTCAAAACTGAACAAAACTGTATTAATGGTTACAGATTTTATTTGCTAAACGAAAAAATGTTTCTTTTGGCAGATTATGATGTAGTTTTACAGTACATTTCCGTAATTTTAATGAACTGAAATTTTCTGTCGGAACGTTACCGAATCATCATGTTTATTAACAGAAATTTTTTGCATCGTACATTTAATGAATATAAATTTAATCGTTAAAACAAATTCAGGATAAAAGATAAATATATACATCAATTGGAGACAACAAAATGAAAAAAAAAACAAGCTGAGAAATATCGGAGGTTAAAAATCACAGTTTTAAGATTTAAAACCAATTTATACTTGGTGAGCTTTTAACTTCAATATCTTAAATATGCTTCCATTTTCTTATCACGCGATTTTCATTGTAGGGTGAAAAAAGAGTTTACAATATATTTTCCTCTATTTGGAATAAGTTATAGACACTATCTACCAATAAGTATTTGGACACGTGTGATTGAAAAGAAAAACAAACTTTATTCATAATCAATAGTTGGTAGAGCCTCCACGAGAGGCAATTACAGCGTGAACCCTCCGGGGCATACTTTCCGCACGTCTTTGTGTGACAGTATTTTCTTCCACTCGGCTTGGAGAAGACATGTAGTAAGTTCCTTCACCGATTTTGGACGGGTAGTACACCCCTTAATTCTGCGATCCAACTCGTCCCAGAGGTTCTTGATAGGGTTCAGGTCTGGGCTCTGGGCAGGCCAGTCCATTCGATTAACCCCATTGGCACCATACCAAGCCTTGGTGACCCTCGCAACATGACAGCTGGCATTGTCGTCCTGGAAGTAACAGGGGTCCACCCCGTAAAACTGCCACAACGTAGGAAGCACATTATCATCCAAAATAGTGCAGTAAGCATCGGTGTTGAGCTTACCATGAATGAGGACCAAAGGTCCCTATCCGTACTAGGAGAAGCACCATTCACTTGCATAGGTGTCCAAATACTTATTGGTGGATAGTGTATTTACTTAGAATTTTGACATTTTAATCAACTGGCTATTTATTTTATGAAAAATGAAAACATCACATTCTAGAAACATTATAGCTAGCTGTAGATATAAAATCCCTTAGAATTATTATAACTTTTAAAATAATTGCGATGTGATAAGTTGTGAACGAATTTTAAAATCCTCAACTTAAATAATAAGTAAGTGAATCATACAATAAATTTTCATGTTGAAAACGTTTTCAATAATTTTCAAGCAGCAAATATGCTGAAAGAAATTTTCTGCTTGCAAATTTCTTTAAAAAAAATAAACAAGAATTTATGTAAATATACAAAGCTTAATTAGTTAGAATTTTATTATTTTCTTTTAACTATAAACCTTTTTGACGTTTACTTAAATTATTTTTGTATACTTAATAGATGAGTAGCGGGGTTAATTCTGATTTCAAAATTAAAAATATAAGATGAATAATTAAGGATCAGCTCATTAAATATCTCTTTTTAAAATGCGTCTGTAAATAATTTTGAAGTGCTTAATATTTTTTGAAATGTCTTTATTCATTTTTACAAAAATATTAAACTAAGAAAAATTTTTTCGAAAAATTTAAACACAGATTGTTTATATAAGTAATCAAATAATTAAAGAAAGAAATGTGAGAATAAATATTAATTTAAATAATAGAACTCTAATTTAATGCAAAATTAAAATATTTTTTTGACTTTTTATTTTTTGCCAAGTTTTTGATTCTATACTTTATTTTTATTGCAACGAATTTTTTTCTACTTATTTAATTTTCTTGACTATCAAATTTTTTTAATTGCTCGAGTCATTTAAAAACGATCATCCTTAATGGGCTTTTGTTGTTTGGCTTTTCTATATTAAATTAAATTTATTAAGTCGCATATCTTTATTATATCTAAGCATTTCAATACACATAAACAATGTAAAAATTGTTTTATAAAAACTAATTAGTTTTATTTTTACCATAAACTATTAAAACTGATCTCTCTAAATTAAATAAGCGATGATTAAATATATGTTTTTAAAACATATGGCTCAGGGGGATTATTTGAATACAAAATTAATATTTTTAACACTGAACTGTAAACTAATTGATACAGATTATAACTAATTCAGATTTTTATCATAATTTTGTGTAACAATATTATGGTGAAAACATTTATATTAAAATGTTTTTACCATATATTTTATATAAGTCAGTTTAGCGAATAGTGATTTCATTACATCCTCAGTTTGAATTTTTTTGACAAAGAAGTAATGCGAAAAAAATACGCGAATCAATAAAAAATGGGCCTAGAATAATTATTATTATAAATTTATTATTAAAGTATTTAATGCATTCTTGTTTTTATGGGAATAATTATCAAATTCATAATATTGCAGAGAGCTAGTCTATACGAATTCCGTACCCGGCTTGCACCGACCACAGTGCTGACGTAAAATATCCTCAGTGATAGACTGATCATGGATTAGAGTTACCATCGGGTTAACCGTGAGAGGTTTTCGTGTTTTTCTTCACCTTGTAACGCAAAGGCAAGTTTGTCAAAAAGTACTCCACGAAGGCTAGTTTAACGATGCTTGATCTAAGAGTTCCCTTGTCCTTTGGGTTGGGTTCAAAATTACAAGGCTACGGAGATCATAAAAACATCAACAGTCGTAAACTCAGAATTCAGTCGGCTGTTCATCACCAGTTATAAAATTTAAAAATAAATAAATAATAAACTAAAATGTAGCTGAGAGCAATAATGAACCACTTCTTTATGCAAGTCAATTTAATTTAAATCATAAAATATCACTTCCTACGTTTCCTTCTTTAATTTCGCACCTCTTGAACGCTTATTTAACTCTTAAAAAAACATTTTCTTTTGGAATTAAATTTGAACAAGCTCTGAATAATAAATCAGCTTAAAAAAATACTTTAAATGAAGCGGTAGAATGAAAAATAGTCGAAACTTTTTTTCCCCCTCGTTTCGGGTGGAATTAATTGAGGTTCCTTTTTTAAATTCAATACTTTACTCAAACTATTTTTAGAAAATACTGTTCTTTCTGAAATAATTTAATAACTTCGCTGAAAAAGTACTATACATAACATAAAATATAAAGGTTGCCCAAATGAAAAGTGAATACGTGTAAAAATGTTATGAAAAGTGAATACGTATAATTATGTTATGAAAAGTGAATACGTGTAATAATGTTATAAAAAATGAATGCGTGTAATAATGTTATGAAAAGTGAATACGTGTAAAATGTATGAGCGCAATTGTGCCACCATTCTGGAATGTAAGACGCGTAGGGGGTGAGTTTCCCTAAACTTAAATAAAGTCGTGCTAACTATGAAAACGTACTAAGTAGAGCAATGCACTACTTTTGGACCATTGTTAAAATTTTAATTCTCAAATTACGGTAAAATTATTGGCAGCAGTCTGTCCATTTAATTAACAGTTAAGTTTACGATTAGGAGCAATTCCTTATCTTTATGAGTTTGAAACCGTTTACAAATGCATAGTCTTGAAGCTGTACATATGAAATTTAACGGGGTATTGGAATTAAAGTTGTGGTTGATATGTGTTTTGTCAAGTGAGTCGAGTAATGTGACTTAATTATTTTGTCTAGTAGGGCCACTTATCGTGAAAGAGGGGAAATACTAGAATTTCTTTCTGCCAAGAAGCATTGTGGAGCTGCCATTTAAGCATAATTGTAGGTTTCCATAGTCCATTTCCATAGTCCAAGATCACAAATTGAGAAGTACAGAACACTGGAAATTCCGCACGTGTTGAAAGAATGGAGGAAATATTGAGTTGTCAACACTAGTATTCAAACCTCAGTTCAGCCAGTTATGAGAAGGACAGATTATCTCTCAGCTAAAGTATGTTCTCATAACTAAGTGACTTTATAAAGTGTTCACTATATAATTATTCTTACAAAATTACTAGGCTATTGTGCAAAACATTCGATGTTGGAAAATAAAAATATGAATTTGTAACCCTTATCAAATTGCTTAGTACCCAGTTTTCAAAGCGCATGCGTTCGATTTTTGATAGCTGTGGTTCTAGTTGGCACGGATGAAATTCTGGTTGTTCAACGGTATTAGGTTGAAACAGTCCAGCCAATAAACAATTTTTACACTCATATTTACGACACATTACGCCTCTAACAATTAATGTAATGCTGGCTGTTTTGGACAGATTCATCTTTGACGTAACTTTTACATCCATTTTAAATGCTCTCATGTCAACTGTGATCAATCATTTATATTTAAATTGTGGTACAAAACTCCTAACTTCTTTAATGACCCTAAATGATTGCTTTAATACCACGATTGTATTTCTAAAGCTGTCTCACTTGTCCCCTTTTTAATTGGGCAACTCAAATAGGATGCTAGGATGCATGCGCTAATATAAACCACTATGACTATATTACTTTTACCTTACTAACCTAACTATATATATATATATNAATATATATATATACATGTATATTTCGCATAATTAATATAAGAAGAATGAAAAATATAAGCTGGGATAAGAAAAATATTTCAATAACTGTTAAAAAGTTATAGCTGTTATTTTGAAACTGGCCACTTTATTCCATCTGTTCCTTTAAAAGCAGTTTACTAAAATAATCGATAAATTCAGAATGATCATATTTTGCCTGTCTTTGGTATTTTGCTCATCGACTGTGACTGGGGGGAGGGGGAAATCTTAATGCAAACAAACAGATCTCGGCTCTTTAACTTTCCTCGTGATATAAACATTCTCGCTTTTAAAAGCTCTCCCAAACTTTTTTCTTATTCATTTTTTTTCACAACAAAGTGGGGTCTCTTAGGGTTTTAGCGTCAGTTTTGCGTCAGTTTGTGTTGCTTTCGGATTTATTTTGCTCACTTTTCCTAACTTCTTTCTTTTGGAAAGCCTTGACTCAAATTATCATGGCGAGAAAGTGTTATTTATGAAAGGATGAATATACTTGCATGATAAAAAAAATTAGGAGATCAAAAAGGAAGAAAAAAGCCGTAGAAAGTGCATAGTTTCTTCACAAACAATACTGAAAGAAAGAAAGCGCAACAAACATTTTTTACTAGTAAATCAGGCAATATAGGACTTAATGCTTCTCTGTGCTTCGAGACTTTCGACACTCAGTCCACATTTTAAATTTAGTTATTTTTTCTTGTAAAAAGTCTTTGTTGCTTTGTTATTTTAATTTAAAACAATATTAATATGTTTTGTCAATTAAAACTTCGGAATAATTGGAATAGCGCTTTCAAAAATTATTTCTTAAAGGTAAGCACATTTTCTTTTATATGTTTTCCTGAAAATTGACGGAAAAACATCATTAACCCCTTCCTTCTCGCTCCCGTGAAAATGACGGGGTGAGATTTCGCCCTTTATTTCTCGCTCCCGTGGTATTTTCGGGCTGGAGTGTTCAGTAGTAACGTGCCAATAAGAATAAATTTAATTCATTTCTTTTGCCCGGAAAACATTTTATTTCTCGATTTACACACCAGATGTCAGTACCAGGATATATTTAAGGTAATTGTAGATAGTTAGTTTATTTTAAACTAGATGTCACCACTAATCAAATACGTGTATTTGGGATAGGTGATATGAAAATATCACGGGAACCGTTTTCATGACCGTTTTCTGGAAAATTAACCGATTGTTAAGGGGTTAAAATCTAGTTTTAATGTATATGGCAGATTTTGTAATAATCTAAGATGACACCAAAATTTAAGGTACTAAAACTTATATTTTACTAATATTTTATCATTTGTGATTTTCGTTTCTAAACTTAGGCTTAGTGGCGCAAAAAACCCCGTACTGTAGTATAATTTCTTTCGATATTGCTTTATCCCGAGCGAGTATTTTAAACAAAGGCGCCCCATCGCGAAAAGATTACAAGGCGTGATGACGCTCTTATATCTAAAAGGAACATTCAAAAATAAAATAAACTATTAATTCTAATTATCAAACTAATAAAAAATTACTATTATAATGATTGTACGAAATCATGTACTATCCCTGTATTTATACGGCGTATCTGAATCATAATAAACAAAACTGAAATTATTCATAAGGGAAATGCAGTTTTACTTGAGTTAAATTTTTTTGAAACTGTGACCTTTATCATAATTATCGAAACTGGTTTTCTATCTCTTTTTAAGCTTATGTTTTCAGTATGTATGTGTTTATGTGTGTTTTTAATGTCTAAGATATGAAGCTGGGATTATAACCAACAAATATTTCATCGGTCAGCAAATATTTCGATTCTTACTTACTCGTTAAGAGGTAGGCTCTGACTTCACAGATATGAAGAGGTTTAGAAGATAAAGATTTTATTTGTATTCCTATAGTATTTCTATTTTCCGGACTAGGACAGTTGTGAATTTTCCATCCTATGGGAGCTGAAATTTACGAACAAAATGTCAACATAAAAGTTTTGAAATCGAAATTGTATAAAGATTAATGTATGTATATCTAGTTCATACAATTACTATCTCTTTCACTTCCGCAATTGTGTGTTATCCCATTACTCTTCAAAAGGACAACTTTATAAGCAATTTCTCCTGAAATTACAAAAAAAAAATTTAAAAAAATCACATAATACAAAAATGTGGTGCACAATTATTATGCTGTTTTTTTTAAAACTTATATAAAAGGTATCATATATCCAGTCTTGGTATCATATATCCTGACCAGTATAGTTCTGAATCATAAAAGTAAATACAAAATTAAAATAGAATTCAACAAATGACATTCTAGACCAGATTTAAGAATCCGTTGACATTTAAAAAATCATAAACAGGAAGAGAACATGCATGAATTTCTTCCCAAATAAGTTCCAAACTGTCCAAAGTAGAGCCGTGATGGCTCAAGGGATAGAGAGTTCGCCTTCCAATGAGGTAAATTGGGTTCGAATCTCGGCGATGGCTGGTCGATACGAATCAGCATCTGGCTTGCACCGACCACAGTGCTGACGTGAAATATCCTCAGTGGTAGGTGGATCATGGGAGTCCCTTTGCTGTCAGGCTAACTGTGGGAGGTTTTACTCTCCGTGTAACGCAAACGCTGGTTAGTTCCCACAAAAAGTCCTCCACGAAGGCAAATTTCTCCCAATACTTGATCCAGGAGTTCCCTTACCTTCTGGTTTGGGTTTAAAATTACAAGGCTGCTGAGTTGAACGTTAGAAGTCATAAACCCAAAAACTAGATCTGCTGTTCAACGACGGTTATAAAATATAAAATATAAAAACAGTCCAAAGTGTGTTCAGGTAAAGCATGGTGTTGGTGGCATTGGGAGCAAATTGGCTATGTTTTTATACCCTCAGAAAAAAATTAACTCCTTAAGTGGTCGCTGGCGAGGCGCGAGATGGTGGTTCAGATTTTCCTATTATAAGAAAGGGTCAAGGCTAGACCTGGTCTACTTCCTCGATACCAGTGGTGAGTAAAACGCATCAACCAATTCTTCTTAATTTGAGATTGTTTCTTTACAAATGTGTTGTATTTTATGCTAGCAATCAAACCTCTAAGAGTATAAAAATGACAAAACATTCAAAGATTTTTTAAAAAGCTTTGGAAAATATGAAGTGCAACGATATTTAAAATAATTTTTCTTCAAAAGGAAAAAAAAATTGCTTCCGTTTTCATATTAAAATCATGCTGCCGATTTGTAATTTCAAAACCACTAATTATTAACTTTATTCACTCACCCCCCCCTTAGTAATAGTAAATAACAAGTTTTATTAAATAACTAGGGTCCTAGCTCTATATTTATCACTTAACTAGATGTTATAATGAAAATAAAGTTAGTTTTAAAGAAAGAAGAATTCAATTACTTTCAGTTTTAGTTGGACAGGGTCACTGCTTTCCATTAAATATAAAGGAAATATGATAAATGGTTTTAGAAAGGGAAAAAAAAGTTAACAAATTATAAAACTAGTCTTAGATTTTTCTAAAATTTAAAGGGTCACCAAGAGTACTATTGTAATATACAGAAGTACCTTTGTCAGCGCTGAGGCAAAAAAGGAAAAAAAAAATATTCAATTTTTTCCATCTTGTTCTTCGATGCTATATTGATGAAATTACGAAGCGATTGTATTGAGTACTATAACGAAACGATTGCCTGTCTCATGAACTTGTTCATTCGTGCTTATTGCGTTGTGTTTTAAGCGGAAGATGAATTTAATGTTGTTGTTTTTTCATTCCTTACATTAGCACTGACGAAGTGCATCTATATAATACTGAAACAATTGTTTGTATCATAAACTTGTTTTCATTCTTTCTACTTTCTTTATTTTAAAACTGACTAAGTGCTTCTCTATAATGCAGAAGCAATCATCTGGATCAAGAACTTTCTTATTCATGTATTATGTTATGTTTTATGAGTAGAAGATGTGCCATGGAAGAAAATGAAGCAGGATGAAAGCTTTCTATTCTCTTTGTTTCAAAACTAAGTGTTCCTATATAATACTGAAACAATCAAGAATTAGTTCTTTCCTCCTTATTATGTAATGTTTTAAGCCGAAGATGTAACGTAGCAGAAAATGAAGCAGAATGAAATGCTTCCTACATTTTTTTTTTATCTTGAAAGTATTTAAGTTCTTCTATATAATACCGATGAATTGTTTGTATCAGGAACTTGTCCATTCATACTTATTATGTCTTTTTTAATTTGGCTGTGAAACCTATTTATTTTTTCATCAATGATCGAATAATAAACTCACCTTGTGGCATGAAAATCATGATTCGAATCAATTCTCCAGGTTCCTGAAACATTCCCATCCAATAGCTGTCCCGACCAGGAGTTGTAGATGAACACGTAGTTTGATCGCCATCACTTGCGAGAAGAGCTTCATTTTCTTCTTTCGGTTCTTCCGTACTGGATTGGTTAGTGATTGACATCTCTGCTGGAAAATCTAAATTTCATGAAATATTACTTCAGTTAATATTAAAAGGCTGTAGTAATGAAAACTTAGAAGTAACCCTTAGTTAAATACTTTTAGGGAGGAGAAAATAAAAATATAAATGTGTCATATCCCTGATGCAATAGCTTTAGGTATGATTAAATTTTTTTGCAATTGGATTATTGTTTAATCTTAATTATTTATTAATTAGACTTTTTTTATCATTTATTTTTCACTCTTACTGGTACAGTATAAGTTCCTATTTTCCTAAAATATTAAGTTGTTGTGAAACAAAAAATATTTAGTATTTCATCTAACCCATTATCACGTTTGGAGAGAACTTTATCAGTTATATAGACTTAAGTCTGCAGCCTAACTGAAGCACAAACAATATTTAAAAAATTATTTTAAAAATTAATTGATTATATTTTTGTTGTAATTAGATTATTGTTTAATGATATTCTAACTAATTATGTATTTATTAGACCTTTTTTATTATTTATTTTTCACTCCTATTGGTACAGTATAAGTTCCTATTTTCATAAAATATTAAGTTGTTGTGAAACAAAAAGTATTTAGCATTTCATCTAACCCATTATCACGTTTGGAGAGAACTTTATCAGTTATATGGACTTAAGTCTGCAGCCTAACTGAAGCACAAACAATATTTAAAAAAAATTATTTCAAAAATTAAAATTTAGAAAAAAAGCATCTTGAATGTTGTTTTAGTAAAGCTCTTAAAAGTTATGTTTTTTTTCTTCAGAAAATGTGTTGTAAGATCATCATCTTTGTTATTCATTTGAAGTATATACAGATATAAGTTTGTGTTCTAACTTCCAAGCAAATAAAAATTCGCAGTGACCATTCCAGTAGACTACAGTTTGATATATGTTGTCTTCGTACCTGTTATAGAAGTTGCCACATAAACAGCTCTTACTATTGAAATTATTACATATAACATCTTACATAGCATGATATCAAATCAGCAATGTTTTTCGCTCAGCAAGGCTTCCTAGTCATTGTTTGAGATTTAAAAAAAATTATTTTTTTATTTAACGTTATATCTGTCGTTCGATTTAGAATCAGCATACTTCCGATTCAATTCAGCATACTTTCCATTTAAAATCTTGGTTGGTTGGTTCTAATGCTACTTGCCACACGGGCAAGCCTGCTTGGTGAAACCGAGCAAATTTAAGGCAGAGTGTAGAATTCTTGTTTTTCAGTGGCGCCATCTATGGCCAAGAATTCTACTTCTGCCACATCAGACGTCACACCTGTTTATAAGGTGAACCCATTCATACATCCATTCATTCATCCACAGATCGTAATTTTGATCTGAATCAGAGAACGACCAATCTCCAATTCAGTACCCCCAGAGGTTTTGATTTGTTATGGGAACATGAAGGACTTTGCGACTCGACAGAATTTTAACGTGCATCAGCCACCAACTACACGGGGAGTCTTAGGCCGGCAGGGTTCGAGACTGCGAACTGTCGGACATTTAAAATCTTTATAATTATAATAAATTTAAATCTCATTGCTTGATCAATTTCAACTTTCAACAGCGTAGTATGAAAGACAGAAACAAGTTCGTAAAATTTAAAAAAAAATTCTTTAAATCATGACTTTTAATGACTAAAAAGCAGTTTTGAGTTTTGCTTGAGACAATGACATATTACCGCACACAGGCGTGTCGCCAATCCAGTCTCCGTCGTCCTCGCATCTTCGAAAGAAGTTACCACCTATATAGCTCGTGGTTTCGCAATAATAGTAGATAACATCTCCAACAACGTAATATTCTTGTATGGGGCCATAACCTCCTCCTGCAGGGAAGTCTGGGGGGTTGCATTCTGGTGCTGAAAGTAAGAAGTCAGTAATAAGTTTATTAAAAAATCATTCTCATTTCTAACTTATTTTAAAACATTTTCTTAAAATCACTCAATTGTTGCAATCGATTATTTGAAGCTGAAACTCTTTTTCGTAGAAATCTCTAAAATAATTATCCCGTATTCTATTTCATTTCGTTCAGATACCCTTGACATGGAAGTTTTGTCCCCGGGGGCAGTTGGCTTTGTAGATATGAGAATAAGTAGATATACGGAAGAAGTTAATTTCTGTAAATATCGAGCTAAATTAGAGTTACTATTTCAACGAATTTTAAAAATATTGGCAAAGGTTAATCAATTTGGGTGATTTCTTAGCAGTATAATTTTACAAAACTCGGAAATGATATAATGATTCTTATAATTGTAAAAAATGAACGATATTTTTCTCTTAGTCAATAGGACTTAGTCCACTTTTAATAACAAGATGTTAGAAGAAGCAAGAGTTTAAAATAATTAATAATTAACTTTCATAACAACGACAATTAATTTTATTCATTTCAAAAGAGAATATAAATAAGCAAGGATAAAAGGCAAATACTTCGTCAAGATAACTTTAACTTTAACTTTAATAAACTTTAATAACTTTAATAAACTTTAAAAAAACATTTTTTTCAAAATTTATTTCTCCTTTTCATAGTAAAGTATTTATGGAAAATAGATGATATGTAAAGCAGCAAACTCATCATATAGCTGCAATTTTCTTTTGTTATAGAGCAAGAAGTTTTATACAATTTAAACGTAGAAATCTAACTGAGATCTTTGGATCTTCCTTGCTTTCTGAATAAAAACAATACTTTAAAGGAGTATTTTCACCTATACTTGTTATGTAAAAAAATTATGTGGTTCATGTCCTCTAAACCTCATCAAGAAAACTTTCATACATTTTATAATTTTTTGAGCAGACAAATTTTTTTACTGTAAGCAATTCCGGATCAAATTAGGGGGAAAAGTACAGGCACTATGAGTGCAGCATTTGTAAAATCCATTTTTACCGTAAAATTTTATACCCTAATTTTTAGAGTAAAATTTACTTAAATACTGTGTAATTTTTACGGTAAATAATACTGTAAAAATTACCTTAACCTCAACCACATCAAGGCAAATAAATATATTTTGCTTTCTTCCGACGCACATGTCACTGTATGCTATAATATGGTTTTAACATATAACTATCTGAAATAATCTTGAGTTGTAGCATTCTGAATTTACTTCAGATAACAAAACATGCAACTTCTCTCGCACCTCTAAATGCTACAGTTTTCTCCCACACTTACATATGAATTTTGCTGTCATGAATGTACAGAGCTAAAAAAAATAATAAACTGACCACTCTAAATAACTTTTAATCTAAAGATCGGATCTTCACGTTCTAGGACTCAATCTTAATTGCTCGAAGGGTTTATCTGAAATAAGTTAATTAACAAATGCAGACGATATTTTAAGTTACGAAAACGGACACACAAAAAAATCGTACTTTCTCTGAAGAAACATACCATTTTTTTGACTGATTGAAAAATATGATCGTCATAGTTTCGTCGAGAGAGCGAATCAGTGTTTGGACCCTTTAATGCTAATTTTATTTTTAGTGTATTTTTCTATTTCCTGAAGACTTTTTCAGCGAATTAAAAAATTTTGCACACAATTATATACTTAGTTTGTCCAAAAATAGTCCAAGCAAAAAAAATAAATTTACACTTATTATTTTTCCTAATAGTCGAAAAATATTGAACTGTAAAGCATTCAGTTTTTGAGATATTATTAAAAAATACAATATCACATGGCAAAACACAGAATTTTTGTGAAATTGGTAGAATATTTCCTGATAAATCGAATTTTAAATATACGACTTTTTTAAAATTTGATCTATTGATTGATCTCTATCTTCATTACTAAACTTTGAATCGCTCTCCTGATTTAACTATGCGCACCATCTTTCCCAGATTGCGAATTTCCCAAATATTTTTGGGGTCAAAATTCAGAATCCATCGAGAAAAAGGCATGTTTATTTAGAGAAAGTATAATTTTGTGTCTGATTTCGTAACTTAAAATATCGTCTGAACCTTATTAATTACCAAATTTGTAGTTACCTCCTCAAACCATTAAATATGAGTCCTGGGATGTGAAAATCCGAACGTAAGGCCAAAATTTATTCAGGGTGATCCGTCTATTTTTTGAACACCGTTTATATTCCACTTATATGCAACAGAAACTGATATTTTTGGGTATGGAAGTCCCGTTTAAAGGTCTAAGAGAAAAGTGAATTTCCTGGGTTTATTGATGCTCATTTTTGACATTTTTCTAGCAAATTCTACATTACTTAAATGGATGATACATGCTTGCATTATACTGTTCATTTCAACATGACCTCAGGTAGCTTTAATTTTCATATTTAACAAATCACATTTATGAAACACGTGTTTATATAGGTGATGAAAGATTAAATTAAAACTTATCTTAAAAATTTTCCTATATGCTTGCTCGCCGAGAAATATATTATTTTATTCGCACTTTCGACTTACAAGTTTTACACTTTATTTCAATTCCATTCAGAATCCAAGAATTTTCAGTCTGGATTATGAGAACGCGCTTAATGGTTTTCGTAATGTGGAAAACTTTGACCTTTTTACGCCACCACTGCGTCTTCATCACTCTTTCTGCAAGATATTTTCATTTTTCCTCCTGCGTCTTTTCCTATTACCTTAGCATTAAAAGTACTACGCAGTTTTTTCAAAGATATATTAAATGTTATTATACGAAAATTTGTCTATAGTACTACGTACTATTTTTATAGTACTTTATTTTTCCGAATTAAAAAGTATGTATAACTACAATTTTCGGGTGAAATCTTGACATTTCTACTTCGTTTTACTCCCGTGTGATGAGTGATGTAGAAAAAAATTTATTTTGTTCCAAACAAAATTTAAAAAATGACGCCTAGTTTTCCCTTATAATACGATTCTTGAATATTTTCTTACCTTTGCACTATTTCTTTTTGAATTTCTTTGCAGGAATTATATGCTCAGTTTTTGTTTATTTTTCTTTTCGATTTCTGTTAACTTTCCGAGTATTCTGATTAGTGTTTACTTAATGAGATCGAAAACTAGTAACGTCATATTCGCCAAATGTTTAGTAGTTAGGACACTTGGCGAATATTTTGCAAAGCGGTAAACATTCGGAAATTGCCTTGGATTAAAGTTCATTAGAAAATACCAATTTAAGTCTAGAAGTAATTGTAAAATATTTTAATAAAAAATTTGCTCTGTCTAGAACATGCTAAGTTCAGAGAATATCTCGGTAATATAAGATAGGAAACTTTGTAACTTTTTATAATTTTTCGCAATGCTGAAATTATTTTCTATTAAGAAGTGTGCATCAATTTATTAGAAAATACCCAAATACGTCAGGAAATATTTATATAATGGCTTAAAGAAAAAGAATATATAAGAAGAATATATTTCTTCAATAAAACAGGTCCCTTAGCGAATTTTTTGTTATTTAATACAGTACGAAAAGCATTTGAAGCATGTTTTTTATTTAAAAAAAAGAGCATCAGTTAGTGTGAAAATACTCTATTTACAGAAAATTTTACAGAAAGTCTTACCGAAAAGCTTGTTTTGTCCACAATAAGTTGAATTCAGAGAATATTTCGCTAACATAATGAAGGACACCTTGAGATTTTTTCAACTTTTTTTGCAATGTAAGAATCATTTGAAAATCATTATATATATATATTAAAAACTAGAAGCCAATTAGTTAGTATATATTGCTATATGTCATAAAATAATCATGGATAAATTTAAATGAAAGCTTTATAATTGGGGAACATGATAAGTTCAGTGAATATATCGTTAACATAAAGCAGCAAAATTTTTTCATTTGCGAATTTTGTAAAGATTTCTTTAATGCGTTAATTATTTGAAAATTATTTCATATTAAAATGTAAGCTGGACATCGGTGTGTAGGAATATACAGGTATATGATAAGAAACATTTTTTTCCTAATAATCGTGAAAATGACATTCAATTCAACTTGTAATAAATTATTTAGAATATATTTTGCTGTTAAAATAGTTTTTAAATATTTGAAGTATATAACAGTGTTTGTATTTCCTTTAAAACAATATATTATTTTTAATAATAATGCATTTTAAATTGAAATAATTATTATGTTTTATTAATAATTTTTTCCTTTATAGTAAATAATTAATAGTTTGTTACTTATTTCTTTTAAAGGCTCGAAAATGCATTAGAATATTTTTAAAAAAATTAAAAAGATAAAAAGTGAGAATTTTAAATAATAAATCAATTTACACGTGTAATAAATTCAAAAAACATTCTCACCTACTATAGTCAAAGATGCAATAAATCCAGCGAAACAAATAATTATGCTACTCACCAAATACATAGTTTTTGCCATATTTAAACAATAAAGAAATGTTTTTATTTTGTAAGAAAAAAACTAATAAAGCTTATTTCTAAACTGAAGAAAGCACGTCAACTGCGTGAATGAATTTGCATAAGCGCCATTACTAAAACCTTTTTTTAAATTTTTCATTCTTAAAAAAAAAGGTAAGTATTTTTTTTTTTTAAATGAAAAGAAAGGAATGCAGAGTCAGATTTCGTTAGAGAAAATTTTACTTATCAGCGAGGAAGCCACTTGTTCCGTTTCCTTCAGAGACATTCATTATCATGATATTTTGAAATTCATATCTGAGTACCTCTAAATCGTTGGAAAACGCAACCTCGGGAGACCAATAATTAGCGTTGCAAAAACGAAAATGTTTCGTCCATGTTTCGTCTGCAGAAGTGAGATATAAGGTATTCTAAAAAGAACATTGTTATCCATGCAGAATTCATGTTTACAATTTAAAAATTAAATTTTCTTTCTTTTTCTATTTTTATAAAGTAACTTACTAATTGGTTTTAGCATTTGGAATATAAAAATGTTCTTCTTTTTTTTAAATTTAGTGACATTTAAATTCTGTCGTATACTTAACTATAAAAATTTATAAGCATCAACAATTACACTAGGAAAAAATATTTTTTTCTGTTGCATGAGATTTCAAATCTGCATTTAGTTTTTCTCTGTAAGCTCCAGTTTTTTATAATATTTTTAGTTTATTTTTGTAGAAATATACAAGTTCAAAAACATTATATACAACATGAGATCGCATAAATGTTGCAAGAAAACTCTAGGGGAGTACTATTAGGACTAAAATTGCGCATAGAAATCCAGATCATAATAAGGAAGCCCCCTTAGTAAGGTATAACGACACTTACTGGTATGAGTTTCTAAGCAATTTCAATCCAGATTATTCGCTATAATTACCCTACAAGTGTGTCGCAGCATTTAGGGACCTCTTGTTGTTTATAACGCTTGTAAACTTGTACATTTCAGCAAAAAATAGAGTAAAAATATCATTAAAAAAATCTGTAGAATTAAGAGCAAGCCTGTTTTCAGATTTCAAATTTCCTCACTCGAATTAGGCAATATCAAGTATTTGCATAAATGTAACAAAAAAAATTTATTCCCCAGTGTCAATTATATTTTATTTATTTATTTAGTCAAATAAGAGTTCTAAATGCCATGTTATTCTATAAATGTCACACATAATTGTCTTGTTATTTTATCAAATTTATATCTTAAAGGGCAATATTTAGCAGATATTAAACTTTCTAAATGTTGCTTTTTCTGTTCATGATTACTTATGACTTTTCCAGTTAAAATTAATCGAATTAGCGTAATGATTATTTTTTTTTGGTTCGAAAACTTTTACACGAAAATGATTTTTGAAAAAATTATCAACTTCGTGTGCTATATTCTTATTATATATAGTACATAATTGGATTTTAATAGTGGATACATTTTATCCTTGTTCATTTTGAGATACAGAACCTTATAGCCTATTTTTTCTTCTGTCTTGTCTAATTTGTGATGTCCTTCGACTGGCAGAAAAAGTATAATAAGATTGGAATAACTTGTATAAAGATGAAACATACAAGAAAAGCTCCAATTTCCTCTTTCAACTTTTCCGGATGGATTTGGTTACCGATTGGTATTCTTCATTGGAAAAACTAATTTAATGAAATATTACTTCTATAATATTACTTCAACTTTCCTTATTGTAGTGCATCTACCCTCTTACAATCAGCTCTCAAAAAGTACGGTGATCTTAATACAGCTCTCCCGGCTTCTCACAAAACAGCAATGAATCAACTAGTGGTATCCGTTCATCGAATTCTATCACAGATATCATTCTGGTGAGGGAGTACTGCAGTGCATCTACCACTACAAAAATATAATTCCAATTCACTACTATATAAGACATGTTAACTAGATTCTATGGTGTGGTACCTTTTCATAGATGAAGGTTGACATAGTCCATAACTTCTCACCCCCACTTTATAATGAAAATGCTTTTTTTATTTTATTTTATAACAGTCATTAAACAGTGTGTCCAATTTTTGGGTTTACGACTACTAAAGTTCAACTGCGTAGCCTTGTAATTTCAAACCCAATCTAAAAGACAAGTGAACTTCTGGATCAAGTATTGAGAGAAATTTTGCCTTCGTGGAGGACTAACCCGCATTTGCGTTACATGGAGAGGAAGACCACGAGAACCTCTCACGGTGAGCCTGACAGCAAGAGGATTCTAACCCATGATCCGTCAACCACTGAGGAAATTTCACGCCAGCACTGCTGTCGGGGCGAGCCGAATGCGGAATTCGTATCGACCAGCCATTGCCAGGATTCGAACCCGGTTCACATTATTTGAAGGCGAGCGCTCTATCCCCTGAGCCATCGCTGCTCAAAATGCTTTTATGGAGAGAAACAAAATATATGTACAAAAAATAGTGCGTGCAGTCCCTCCGCGAGGAAGAAGTTAAACTTCGCAACCTGCGACGTTAATTGTAGAAGAATCAGCAGTCGTAGAAGGATCACTAGTTCTATTCAACGACTCTTCTTCCTGCTCCGCTCGCTTCCGTGCTCTGTAATCACAGTAATATAGTGCATTTTTCCCTCGTGGACCTCTCGAACCAGTGGAAGTGCTTGTGGTTGCCTCGTCGTCTCGCCATGGAAAATGTATTTGTATTAATAATGTATGTGCATGCGTCATAATGTAATTTCAGAAGAGAAAACCTAACAATCAATTGATATTCACAAGAGACGTACCTTGACGTAACCTTATATATCCGTCGCATTGTCCGTGGGATTGTTTTCACTCATTTTTTACAATTGTTATCCACTAAATTTTAAAAAAAATTGCTACCCTATTAAATTATATGTGTATCAAAACAAACTAAAAAAATATTTATAGAAAAACAATACTTTTATGACTTTTATTATTTTTATGCTAATGAGAACCAAAACAATATGGAAATGAATGAGGGTAAACTGAATCCTACCACGTGATTTCCCGGCCAATAAAAATGTAGTGTTAAAAACGTTTAACGCAATCTTGTTGGAAGTCGCATAAGAAGTATAACTTCAATAACCTTAAGATGTAATAACTTCAAGCATAATAGATTGTCGCAAAATGGGTAATATATGCCATGCACGTTTTCTTGTTTCCTTGGGTTAAATTCCAATGAACGATAGATAAAACAAAGAATTCGTGAGTTTTTTTCCAGTCTCAAGAATAGTATGGCATCGTAAAATAGCTGTCATTTCTTTAATTGATGGTCTATATAGATTTGAAACCCAAGTCATTTCCCAGGGGGGCAATGGACAAAATTTGAGGTAGAGGAATTAAAGAATTATTGCAGTGATTAAACTGTAATAATTTTGTCGTGGTACAAACCTCTAACATTCTACAGTAAATATGTAGTTGTTTTGACTATATCTGTTTCTTTTTTATATTTGATTTACTGCAAATGTTTATAGCTGAAAGTGTTTGTGTTATCATGTTCTATACCATTTATTGTTTGCTCCTCCATCAGAAAGATATCTTTAATAATAAAATTAATATACAAATTATCTATTTTCCTTTTTTAAATTTTTGAAAAAAGTAAACTGTTTTTAAATTTGAAAAAAGTCTAATTTCAATTTTTTGATAATATTTTGTGACTTAAAGTTCTGATCTGGGAATTGGATTCCCATTCTGTAGGTTCCGGTAGGAACTGTTCTGCTATACATTTACCATGAAATGGTAAATAACTTTACAGATCATTGGTGAAAACTGTACAATTCATTAATAAATCGGATTAGAGGTAGAAGTTTTTCTTGATAAAAAAGATATTTTATAATAAATGATCAATTTGAAATGGGGCCATAAAGGTCATAAGTTAGTTGTTGAAATCACTGACTAAAAAACCCGCGACCCATAAGCTGCATTCAGAAGTTGTTGAAGAAGCACAATAATAATCTAAATACCATAACAATAATGGCGTTAAGTCCAACAAAAAATATTGAAAATTAAGAGATAATAAAAATCCTTGGGATTTATAACATTAAAAACAATGAAGCCCATCTACATTTTGAATAAGAAAACAAGAAAGTGAAAAGAATTTAAAAGTTATGTAGACTTTGTTTTCAAAACTCTAAGCTTAATTCAATCCAATTCTTATTCTCAAAAGAGCCTTTAAGTCACCGCATGTATAAAATATTATCTAGAATACCACTAATTCATGTATTATTAAGTATGTACACTTCTAAATCATGTATATAATCATGTATTATATTTAACTTGATATCTTAATCCATTTTCTTTCACCACTCCTAACAATTTATAACCAACGTAACTATACATTTTTTATTGTTTATCACTCCGGAAATTGTAACTAGAAAGTAATTAATTTAACTTATGATACCTTTTAATACCTTCAGGGAGATATCTTTTTTTAATAGGCTTAATATCTTTTAGTAAGACTTGTTACAGAATCTGTATAGGTGCATTTTTTTTAAAGAAAAAAAGAAAAAATCTGGTATTAGTAGTTTAATAATGTATTTAGAAGATATAATTTTAATGAAAAATTTGTATAGTAAAATATAAATGAAGATACACTTGTAAATCTGTTTATTATCATTATTTAGACAATATTGAAATATTTATGGCAGCTCCTACAATTATATTTCGTTGTCGAATGTATTTTGCTGTCTTAATCCACCATCCCATCCTTCTTCTGAAAAATAAATTAAAAATTATATTAAAAGGAAGCAATATTTTGATTGCAAAATATTAGTTTCTTTAATTTTTTAGGCAATTTAGTGTATTCATATATATATATATATATATATGGAGGGTGGTCATAATGTAATGGCTCTTCGGTNATATATATATATATATATAGGTGCAAGGATTTACCTAAATCAGACTATTTAATTTTAGACCTTACAAACAAAATTTTTGAATAAACTTAATTTGAACACAATTGTTACTAAAAATAAAAATCGTCCTATTCAAGTAAATTGAAAACCCATTTTTAGATGTATAAAAAATTTATTTGAAATTATAGATATTTAGCTGCAGATAATGTAAGTGCAATGAATGTGATGAATTTATAGCCACTACTTTTGTTGATACCTTCTATAATCATGATATTACCAGTTCTTTAGATATTATTAAAAATTATAAAATTTTAAAAAATTACGTCTTTACGCTCTAAATTTAGAACGCCTTTTCCAATTTTGAAAAAAAAGGTTATTTCTCTTCTTCTTAAAATTCTTAATGAGGGTATTTTAAAATTGTCTTACACACATAATTTTCCAATTGAAGTTTTTTTATTAATGGAGAGAAAGCATCATTAAAAATTTTAAGATTAATATGAAAATGAATACTTTAATTGTTTCATAAAAATTTAAACTTTAACTCTGAATTAAAACAAGAAATTAAAAAAAAAATCAAAATAATTTCTGTATTACTTCTGTTGATAAAGCTAGTAATAATTTTGCTATTATTTAAAAATTATTTTACAGACAACTTCTTTCGCATGAACTCAATAGCAGTATCACATACAAATAACTCATCACCAGCAATGATATTATTATTAATAAAATTAATGCTATCGATAAAAAGACTTAAAATTATCGACTTAATTAAGACTCAATTCATATTTATTGCTAGTGGCTTAAATAGTAACAAAAAAAATCGGCATTTGCTTTGAAATTATTCTAGAATAAGTTTAAAATAAAATTTGCAAGAAAACTAAAAATAATTATCACCTAGATTGCAATATCAAAAATAGTATACGGGATTTAAAAACACTAAACATCTTTAAATAATATTGATTCTCTAAGCTGTTTTAATTTCGAAATCTTACATACTTCCCTGCCAGCTAATAAAATTCTTGATGGCCTTAATTCTTAGCCTGCTTAATCCTAATGATATTATTGATGAAGAGGACTGGAAATTTCTCGTTCATATTAGCGTAAGCAACAATTGCATTCTATTTAATAACTGTCTTTTTCGACAAATTAATGCTATCCCCATGAGAATTAATTTTACTACTAATGTTTGCAATATTTTTCTTTTTCTTCAAGAGTAGAGATTCGTTAAAATCATTTGTTAGACTTCCTACAAATTCATCCCTTCTCAAATTTAATGATGATCTTTTGGTTATTAATTTTGATGATTTTTATATTTTAGCTAAGCAAATTTATTCAGGTGAATTAATTCTTAACGAAACTAATATTTAAAATTTTTCAAAAAATTTTCCAGATTTAACTCCTAAAATTAATGAAGATGGAAAAATTACACGTAAAACTTTCTGATGAAAGACATGATTTTAACTTTCCAATTAAATAGAGCGTATATTTTAATTCAAACTTAGCCAATAAAGTTTCTTCCAATATTATTACCAATCAGATTCTTAGGTTTTGTAGGATCCAATTTAGGAATTCCATTTATAAAGAGTTTCTAGGAGATTGATAAATTTAAAGCAGGTTTAATAAATAAAAATTTCTTTTTATTCATTCCTTCAATTTCAGTTTTTAGAAAAAAAATAAACCATTTCAAATTTTATTATTTATTTCTTTTCTGTTTTTAGAATTAGCTCTGATTTTATTTTTAAGGTAGGAACTATTTATGATCAGCTATTCCTAAGGCCTGGGTAGTTTGGTCTAAGTCCGGATAGCCTGGATAGAAAAATTAATTTCTTTGGCATGCTTCTAAATAAACTGTGGCCTTTATTAAATAATTTTAGTATTTTAATATCAATTGTACAGTGTAATAAACCTTTTTTTGGTAAGTGTGGAATAAGCTCTGGTTAATGACCCCCCGATGAATAACCCCCAAAATAACCCCCGAAATAATGTAGGATAAAGTCTATCTATAAACGGCTTTCTATCCATGTATGTAGACTCTGACTTATAAGCAGACAATCTATTAAAGAAGGAAAACCAACAGGCTGATTTTCCTTCTTATGTTACGTCCGTAAGTTAAGCTCTACAAATGTTTCCTATTTGAATGCTTTATTAACGATTTTAAATATGTTTTTCATAGTTTTAATTAACTTCTTTTCCTATTATAGATTTTCTTGATTAAATTTTCCAATTATTATTTTTATTATTGGCAGCAGTGGAATATTAACAACGCAATACTGTTGGTCATAAAAATTGATTTCAAGATGAAAATTACCTCACCAACCAAACAAAAAAAAACATTTTAGTTTCATATTACCTAAACAGATGAGGCGTTTCCTTTTCCAAACACCATCTCTCACACATTCCACTTTATTTTCACGACTTCGTGTGAAGCCTGCGTTGCAAACTAATACGGCTCTCTTGCGAGTCAACTCAATCCGACCATCCAGTATGTGTAAATGAGGATCAACACAGGTTGGTGCTATCAATAAGAAAAGTCATTAAACATCTTTTTCACGTAAATAGTTGTTCCTCACTGAAAATTTTAAGATTGTTATTCGTGAAAAATTGCATTTTTTTTTTTTGCTTCATTTCTTATTGATACTGTACAGCACTTAAACAAAAAAAAAAGGATTAGTATGATATAAAAAAGTTCATACGATTTTTAAGAATTAATAAGTAATAAAACTGCAAAAATAATAAATTATTATTGTTAAAACGTCTATGTTTGAGTGTGAGACAACATAGATTACTGAAGTAATTATAAGTGTAATGTGTGTTGTTGTGGTGTGGAAGTCTGGAAAGAGGGATACCGACGCAGGTTTTAAATATGGTGATATGATCTTTCAGATCTCGGGGTTTCATTCATTACAAAACGCCTTTAACATAAAATATATTTAATAACAAGAAGGATGATGATGATGTTACAGTGTTATGGAGGAAAACTGATTAGAACTAATGTTTTTTACATTGCTGCGCAGAGCGCCATCTATTGAGTATTAGAAATTATAATTAGTATGGAGAAATAATATTAACAGCAGGTGCTAAACACGTCATTTAACCAGGATCAAAATTACGAGGAATTCCATTGAAAAGAGAGATCCCTAAAATTCAGGCTAAGCGGTTGGTCATAGTTAGGTCATGTAATGTACTCCATTACACATTTTTGAAAAGTTATTTATAAGAAATTATTCGATTTCCTTCCTTTAAACACGTTTTTTTAGGATAATTAAGTACCAAAATAATAAAATATAATAAGCCTTTATTGCTTGAACGTCTATGTGTAAACGAAAGAGGTTGGTGCGGCAAAGAAAAATATGTGTCATTAAAATATCTCCATAGTTAAGTGTTGTTTTTCATTGCATATTTTTTAATTGTTATTTATAAAAAACTGCTAAAGCTATTATCTTTTAGTATTACGTTTCACTACAGTAAAAATACATCAAAATACAAAAATACATTAGCGATTAATAAACATTAAAATAAAAATAGCCAAGTTAGTTATTATTGTTTTTGAAAAGATTAACACAATATCACTCTACAAAAAATATCCCTTTTAATTGACTAAATCATTTTTATATATTGTATAAAATTACTTTATCGCCTAACAAGTATGTATTTTGCATTAAAAAAATTAATAATTTTTTTTTATAACTTACTAAAGTTTACTATAATTTTTCGCCCATATCTGCTGTCTCTATCTGACCTTTTTTTCAATATTCCACTTTGAGTTCGTTTTTCTTAATAACAATGAATCAATTCAAAAACGAAATCATATAAATATATATATAAAAATATTTATATAAAAAACAAAAGATTTAAATTCGTAAAATAAATTGAATTAATTTTTTTTAAATTAATGTTAAACTTTTGAATTTGTTAAATTGAATTGATTTTTTTTTAAATTAATGTTAAACTTTTGAATTTGTTAAATTGAATTAATTTTTTTTTAAATAACGTTAAAATAAAAATTCAAGAACAAATGGTGGCGAAATGTGTTTTAAAAGAAGAGAAGAAAAGCAATAAACATAGTCTTGAAAATAGCTCTAAGTGAATCGCAACAAAATTTACCATTTATGCAAAACAAAATATTTTTTTTTCTAAAACTATTTCTAAGATTTGGAATTATGAGCAAGAATTGCGAACTTCATTTACGAAAGTCACTCTAGAAAATCATACCATCAATTAGAATTAGATAAGCAAATTAGATATATTAAATCTCATCGTAAAAATATGCAACACAGAAAAAGTGAAAAACTTTCGGATTGATCGTCGTTTAAAAGTAGGCTTATAACTTACATATTTGACAAAAAATAATCTAATGAGAATAAAATACTTTTTAACCTCTTAACGATCTGTTAATTTTCAATAAAATTGTCATAAAAGTGCCTATTTTGCCAAATACACGTATTTAATTAGTGCTGACATCTAGTTTAAAATAAACCATCTGTCTATGATTACCTTAAAAATATCCTGATACTGCCATCTGGTGTGTAAAATGAGAATTAAAATGTTTTCCGGGCAAAAGAAATGAATTAGTTTTATTCTTATTGCCACGTTACTACTGAACACTCCAGCCCTGAAATTTCACGGAAGCGAGAAATAGAGGGCGAAACCTCACCCTGTCATTTTCACGGGAACGAGAAGGAAAGGTTAATACTGAAAAAAAAATTTCGACAAATCAATCATTACATGCAGAGTAATCCAAAATTCAACCAAAAATTCAGATTGATAAAAGGCATCAAAAGCTCACACCACGGTAAGAAGGACAAAAATCGCAATAGCACATGCACACTCTAACTCGAGATGAGACGAAAAGTATGGATCACATAGCGCAGATTGTCGTCACTTTGGTAGACATCAAAAGCACTCCTGGCGTCTTCGCGCTTGTTCAAGGATCGTTTTTACGTCGTTGTAGACCAGGAGTTTCCAACTTACTTGAGGCCGAGGCCTACAATTAAAAACACCAGGCAAATGGCTGACCGCAACTTTGTCAGAATTTTATGTAGAACTTTTTTATGTTTGAAGGAACATTAAGTATTACTGTTAGATTTTTATCAAGTTGTTCAAAACAAAAGTATTTAATTACAAATAATAAACTTTTTCTTGAATAAATATTTTCTAGGATTCAAAACCTGAGAAATAATTTTTTTTTGCACCGTTGGTATGTTAAATTTCACAGAAACGAAGAAATTAGGTTTTTTTTTTATTTAACGAAGGAAAAGTATTTTAAACCCATACAGATTTTTTACGAAAATTGCTAGCAAAAAAAATGTCAATTAATATATTTCAGTTCGCGGGCCACAAAAAAAGGCTTTGCGGCCACCAATTGGTAACCACTGTTGTAGACTATGAAAGCACATCAGCTGGTGTACTATTTTACTATTTAATAAATAAAAAAAACTGTAAATAGCAAGGTTGCTGTATCTTTTGTAGTTGTGGACCCACTGTGGTAAATTTTCATCCAATTGATACCGTTTATCCCCCCTCTGTCTGTTGAAACGCGGAATACACCCAGTATATATATGGATTTCACTTCGAATTTCGAATATTTAAGAAAACTGTATTTAATCAAGGGATCGAATTTTTTAAAATTTTGTTTTAATTATCCTCATATTTCGCTGAAGTACCATTTGGAAGATATGTACTAGATAAAATGTTTAATACATACTTACATGTAAGAACGTGGGCTGTAATTTCGCATATTTTAAGAGGATTGGAAGACAGGGACTTTATTTTCACGCCTACAGCATCTCTGTTATTTGGACCTGGGCAATTATGATAAGACCATTCTAAACGAGCTGAAATTTTAAAAAAAATTTAATTAAGAAAAACAATCTTTAGCATTTTAGAGCGTAACAATGCTTAAAACTAAGTTTATCAGAAAAATTTGTTTCTCATGCGTCCAACTAATTAAAAAATGTCTTTGAAAGATTTTTAGAATCGAGCGCCAAAGTTAACCCTTGAATTCGCTTGTCTGAATTTCAATTCACCAATGGTTCTGCCATTATAAAATGGACGCCTAAGACAGGCTTAGATTCTCAAACTCTTTCTTTTATTCATATAAATCAATAAAAAAATATTTACCATTTTTGTCCCTTCTTTGCCCACAACTTAGTTCTTGTCCATCGCTCTTAACAAGAATAACATCATAGGCAACTTCTCCTGAAATTGAAACAAAAGCAAATTGCAAGCCAATTACAGATAAAATTACCATCGAAATTTCAAGTTTCTCCCCTTAAAAATTGTCACACTATTGATAGTCAGAAAAGTTTTTTATTTTACCGCAGACATCGAACAGCCAATAGATAAACGAATTATGGCTGTATCAAGGTTCAACTTCATAGCCTTAAAATTTTGAACCCAATTTGGAAGACAAAAGAAACCCAGGATCGACCAGTAGGGCGAATTTGCCTTCGCGGAAGACTTTGATGAAATTATCCCTTATTTGCTTAGTAAAGTCACGATAGTGCTCTGTAATAATAATATCCAATAAGCGCCCTATAACAGCTGTATGAAAAATTAACACGAAGTCATGTATCAGGGGATACAGCGTTTGCCTTCCCATGAGGTGACCTGGCTTCGAATTCTAGCGCTTGCTGATTGATGCGAATTCTGCTCCCAGCTCGCGTCGACCACGACGTAAAATATTTTCAGTGGCAAACGGATCATAGGTTAGTTCCAACCTTATTCCCATCAAGTTATCAGAGAGAGGTTTTCGTGGTTTCTCCACATTGCAACTCATATGCTGGTTAGTTCCAACAAAAAGTCCTTCACGAAGGCTAGTGTGTCCCAATGCATGATTCAGGAGTTCTCTTGTCCTCTGGCTTGGGTTCAAAGTTACAAGGTTATGGAATTGAACATTGATAGTCGTAAACTCAGAATCGGATATTCAACATAGGTTATACAATAAAATAAATGATATTAAAGATAAGATGGATTTTGTAGATTTATTTAAGTCAACAAAGTATCACCTCTCGGGATGAAAGCCATGATTCGAATCAATTCTCCAGGTTCCTTAAAAGTCCCCATCCAATATTCGCCATGACCAGCAGCTGTAGATGAGCACGTAGCTCTATCGCCATCGCTTGCAAAGAGGGCATCATTTTCTTCTTTTGGTTCTGCAGTACTCGTTTGGTTTACCAAAGGCATGTCCATTGGAAAATCTAAAGATGATAAATCATGATTTCTAACAATAAATATCACACAAAGCTTTCAATGAGCTCAACGTGATCAAAAGCTTTATCAATCAAAAACTTTACGAAAACTTTATCATGTAAAGCTTTTGGATAATAATTTAAGTTCACTTAGATTAAAAGTATTTTGACATCATTACAAAAACATTGTACACAAAAAACATTACATTATATTATATTATATTATAAAACATTACATTATATTATATTATATTATATTATATTATATTATATTATATTATATTATATTANCATTCATGGAGTATATTATATTATATTACATATAGTATACTATACTATGCTATACTATATTATATTATATAATGTTATATTATATATTACGTTATATTATATATTATTTTAATGCTCATAGATATGAAAAAAATTACGTAGACTGGAAAATAATATCACTTGCATACTAAGAATCTGCTTTTTTTTCTCTATAAAATGGTATACTTTTATCAATAAACGTAATTTCGTATTTAATAATAAAATACTTCTGAATTTATAAAGATAAAAAAAACAATACCAATGGTAGTTTTTTTTTTTGTTTCTACCACATGTAAAATATGATGAATGAGTTCAAATATATGTTAGTAAAAAGGCATTTTTTGTGTACTTGCTTTTCAAATTCAGTAAGTTAAGGTTTAAACACTAGTTTTTTTTAAACCATTACAAATCAGTGACAAATTAAAAAAGCAGAAAGAAATACTGAGTTAAAGGAAGTATGAAATGTAATTTAATAGTTCTTTGCTATTTATCTGCAAATTTATAATTTTAATGCTAAGCAAGTCATGCTGATTTGTCGGGGGAGTTAGTATCTATAATAAAAAATTGAAAAGAAGCCCATCTAAATTTTGATTCCATTTTTTTTTCAATTTATATTAGATATTCTGTATCACATTAAATTTAGGAAATTACTAACTGGGTACGGCCAAAAATAAAAAAAAACCGGACAAACAATTTTTAATGTAAATTTATTAAAAATAAATAGATTAACAAATATAACAAATAACAATAAGAGTATATTTTCACAAAGAAATATATTTAATTTGCTGAAAATGGCAGCCTTTTGCAGCTATGCAGAGCAACAAACTATAATTGAAATTTTCAATAATGAGTGTAAGTCTACTTTTAACCTTTAATCTATCTTTTAAACCTTTAATCTATCGCATACCCGCCGAAGCAATTACTTCGGACTCTCCAAACTTTTGTGTATAGGCAAGCAAGCGATTTCGCACTGTTGTTTTCCTTGCTTAAACAACTCTAAAATAGCATATATTTTGCTTGACATTGTAAAAAGCTCCCCCCCCCTCCAAAAAAATACGTAAACTGAAAGATATATTATAAAGTATCTTTAAACTAAAGTGATAGACAAAGTGAACACACAAATAAAAAGAAATTAGTTAACTTTTACTCTATTATTTCTCCAATTTTTTTTACCGCACCCCATATCTTTACTTGCCTGCATTAAAACAAATAAACTTACATAAATTATGTCTTTTAATTATTTAAAGATTCTTAAGTTGTCTTTTAGAATAATCATAGCCAAAGTGAATAGCCACGTAAAACATTCCATACCACACACAGGAGTGTCTCCAATCCAGTCTCCGTTATCTTCGCATCTTCGATAGAAGTTACCCCCTATGTGACTGTGACTATCACAGTAGTAATGGATGATATCCCCAGTCATGTAATAATCTTGTCTGGGACCATAGCCTCCACCTGCCGGGTAATCTGGTGGATTGCACTCTGGAACTATAAAATACCGAGAAAAACAAATTTCTATTTCGTAGTTATTCAGATTCTTATATTATTTTAAGTATAATTCATTCGAAAAACTTACATCTGCTATGGGGACGGGAAAGTAATGTCGTTTCGGAGCATTATATATTCGTTGGTCTTAAAAAACCAGTTCATTTTTTTCGATTCAGCATTGAAAGGTTGTGGCCAGCGGGGGTGAAAAAATTACTGATTAAAAATAAAATCTTGATAACAAATATCAAGTGCTCCGAAACGACATTACTTTCCGGTCCCCTTAATATTAGTAGTTAAGTTTACAAAACCAATTAGCTAATTGATCAATCATAATATATTATTGTGATAGGAAAATTTAAATTCTGTTTGGTACCCAGTAAAGTACCATTAACAGGTCATTACACAGGTTGCACTGTAAAAAATTCCTGATCAAATTACGGTGAAAAAGCCGGTGCTCATGGTGCCGGTACTTTTTACAGGTACATGTTACGGAAACAAAAATTTGATCAGCCGTACTTTTTACAGCAATAATTACCGTCAACTCACTGAATCACTCTAATTAATATTACCGTAAAAGTTACAGAATAATATTTTACGGTAAAAATGGATTTAACGGTAAAATGGATTTTATGGATGACGCACCTAAAGTGCAGGTACTTTATGGCCGGAATTTGATCTGGAGTTTTTAGCAGTGCGTGTCACATTATTATAAACTGTTATTGAGTACCCAAAGTCACTTGGATAAGTGTGTTACACAGTCTACCATTTTTATCAATATAGTTTTTTGAATTCTAATCTGTATATAAAACATGTAACAGTTTCAGAAATGAAAAAAGCTGTGAAGTAGTTTAATAAAATAAAAGTAGTTTAATGAAATAAAACTGTTTTATGCACATATCGATGTTAGTTTGTTTATTGATATTGTTTTTTTTTTTTTTTTTTTTTTTTTTTTTTTTTTGAAAAGGAAGAAAAGAAGAGTAGTATGATAAATTCTTAACTTAATAAGTGATGATTTTTAATGATTTTTAAATTATTACAAATAATATAAGGAATGGAATTACATATTTTATAAATATTTAGTATCGAATGATTGAGTGGTGCCTTATGTGAAAAAAAGAATTAATGACTAATTATGAATTAATTGTTAACAAAATAAAAAGCCACATTTTCCTTGTCTTCTTACCATTATAAAGAAACGCTTATCGTTGATTTTTTTTCCACAAAAAATTGCTAAGCTCATATTTTACTGGTTTTAAATCGTATGTCATGAAGCTGTCTCGAAGCTATATCTTTTTTAAAGCTTTATTAGTTTGCTTATTGCTTTAAAAATTAGATTTCAATTATAACGAAAATCAAATAACTTGTTACACAAAAAGTATTTTGACTTGTCTTATTCTATTCAAAAGTTTCGAATATAAGGAAAAAACTTGAATTTTGACTATTTTGAAATTTAAAACTTTGGTCATTGAAGTATAAAATTGGAGAAAAAAAATTCGAATTTTGAACATTCATGGAGTAGTGAGCTACATGAATAAAATACTTCGTATGATTTTGTAATGAATGAGGAATATTAATGAAGTTTTTGGTTAAGTGACTAATTAGTTGTATACAAATGCATTGAAGGCATAAAAAATGTTTCACACATTTTCAAAAGAAAACAAAGAAAAGGACAATGACATATTACTATTGTCCCTCAGGAGAATTCCCGAAAACAAGGATTATTTTACAAATATTCCCCACGAAAGGGAAAAATTTCTGGGTGATAACAAAAGTAAAATCTTTAAACATTTTATCAATATATTTAACAAAGCATTTATAAAATTAACTGTGAATTTAATTTTTACTTTTTCTGAAATTTTTAAATACATATTTTTGAATATATTTTAACTTGTATTTTTTATTTTTAAAAAATTTCGAATAACCATTGGTTTTACTTCCAATAATCAAGCCTCCTTAAGCAGTTTCCTTAAAAGAAAAATAATGTTAAAAGCACAAAATGCTGAAAAACGTTGGAAATGAGTTTAACAGCCTAATATAATCCATGCACCAAATGTATTATCTACTTAATTGGGTACTTGCGCTTCAAGAACAAGAAGATCACCCACACATGTGGCATATGACGTCAGCCCCAACTGATCGTTTATAAGCAGAATAGCGTGTTAAAGTTGAGCTAAGTTTCTTCGCATAAGTTAGAATTTTAATTAACGTGATGTTAATTAAATACAGTGCTGTATCGCACAACGAATTTGTTGAAATATAATTCTTTCTCATCTTCATCTCTTAACTAACTTTGATTTATTATTTGTTTCTACATTTTATTGTAACCATGATATAATTTTTTTTTGTACCTGAACTGGGTTAGTGGCTGCTTTTGTGTTAAAATGAAATAGTGAAAGTATTGAAATCTTTGTGAAAAAATCTTTGTTAAAGAATATAGAATGTGTCACTTAATAGAATCGATACTTGACGGGTTTGGCTTACTCGAAATTAAATGGAAAGAACTGTTGCTAACGTAAACAAATGTCACGTTTCAACAACTAATTGGGATCTAGATACCCACACTACGTCACTTGTAAGTATTCTATTAGTGCGTTGTTTTATTGTTTTTATTAAAATTTTGTTTTTATATTGTAACAGATAATGCAGCAAAGAAACAAAATTGAAAGGAGTTAAAAAGTAAGGGTTAAAAAAAGTTTCATTTATTCCATCCGTGTTTTGCAATGAGAAATCTCAACACTTTTAAATTTACTCTTAGAAATATAACAGTTTCCGGGATGATGCAGTGATTAATTTTGTTTATGAATTTCCAATTTAATATTTCCTTGAGATAAACACCTTGATGCAAGGTATTTTAGAACCAGTACAATGTTAAAAATTCTTGATCTAATTGCGATATTAAGTACTGGCACTTAGGGTGCATCATCCGTAAAATCCATTTTTAATGTCAAGTACTATACCGTAATTTTCACAGTAGGGATTCTGTGATTTTACTGTTATTTATTACTGTAAAACTTACGGTATATCAGATTTTTTGTTCCGTAACATATGTTCCGGTAAAAATGAGTTTCACGGTAAAAAGTACCGCCACCCTGAGTACCAGAACTTTTAACCGTAGTTTGATTCGAAATTTTTTACAGTGCATGCTCTATTGCTAAATATCTTAGATTAAAATTAAAAGTATTTTAAAATTATATTGTTTTAAAAAGATTGTGGAAATACAAGAAATTTGACTGGTTAGATTATTTTAATTTAGCACAAAATTTTTATCTGTTACTCAAGCTATAATTTAGTTATAAAATATTTTAAAATTGTTTCCTAAAAACTGCATTGATTTTTTTTTCATATTTACTTTCCTTGAATTTTAAAAAACAAGTTACATTTTATTCAATTTAATAACATTTTATTGTTATAATTTACCACAAACAGACAAGAAATATTTCCGTTACCTGGCACCACATGGTCCGTAATGGTAGCTGCAAAAACTACTAATATTAAATTCGCATAAAGAATATACGTAAAACTGAATACATAGTCAAATTGACAATGCATACCACATCCTAGTGCCTAAACGGTTGTTGCTTAAAATAAGTATAATAAGGCAAAATAAGTTGCAGTCACTTTATTTGTGAAACAGGTAGGGAGAAAAATACAGCTAATATTTTCCTTACATTTAATATCATAATTTTATTTCATCTCAAATTATTTTTGAACTAGTTTCAATATTTTTCCAGTGCTATACATTTATGTCATAAAAAAAAACAATTAATAAGCTAACGTCTTGTTTTTTCAGTTCAAAATTTGAAGAAAAACACCATTTAATTAGGAAACAAAATATATGTTCGTGTCGTAATTGTCTTTTAGATCATTTTTACTGAGGAGTCTATTTTCTATTAACTTAAAAATTGCTGAGTAAACGTACTCCGAAACGGATGTTTAGATAAAGTAAAAGATGGCCTGAATTTCCCTTGAAAGTAATTTGTTTTCTTTAATCAACGAAGAATTGCTTGCCATCTAAGACAAAGTTCGTTATTGTAAAGGATGCGGGCTTTATTGCTCTTTGTATTATACGAATTCCACTAGAGAATGTTTTATAACAGGTATTTCTACTAAAACGTACTTCATACTTATTTAAAATATGCTAATTAATTATTTCAAAGTGACAAAAAATAACTTAGTGATTTTTATTTTTATTCAAAAATTATCTTCGGTGTAAAAATTTGTTTTGAGAAAATGCTTTTTAAAACTTACTTTATTTTTATTGCCAAACAAAATTCTGCGCATCATTTAGTTCACTGAATTAGCGGATACATCAATAGTTCATTTAATTAACGCTGATCGACTTACGCTTTTCACCTTAATAAACGCTAATAAAATTAAGCGTATCGGAAAAAACATAATAATAAAGATAAACACAATGCCGACCAGACTGCGTAGGGGTCAGAATTCCGGACAAGGAATGGATGTTCTTTTATTCTCTGTACTAACTGTCCTTACTAGTAGCAACAACGTTTATCCACCTAATAGGGTACCCCTGAAAGAGTGGTCAACAAATCTGCTCTTCAGGTGCCTGTATTAACGAACTGTCATTCCCCAGTTGGGCAATGGAAAAAATTTATGCACAATAAACTCTACACCTTTTAATTTATACAATATTAATATTAATGAAATAGTGATATTTTTTTCTCCTTTTTTTACAATTGCTTAAAGATTTTTATCCAAGAGTCTATAATACAGGAGATCCAACTGAAACCCAAATCACGTCATAACGAGGTTTTACTAGACATTTAGACGACTCTTGCGTACGTCTCACCTCTATGCGGACGATGGAGTATGGAGCGGCCTATTGAATGAATAAAATGATTTGTTTATTAAGTAGCTTTTTTTTTAGTCCCGCAGTGGACTGATCGTTAAGACACGGTTCCCAGCAGATCACCGAAGTCAAGCATCACTGGCTACGGTCAGTGTGCTGGGGGGGTGACTACTTGGATCAGTCTGCGTAG